CATACGCCGTGTGCAGCCACAGCCCCGAGATCAAAAGCGACAGGAGGATCGCACCCATCGGATCGATCCACCACTTCAGCTTACTCCCGCCAACAGAGGTCAGGATACCGAACCCGTTGATGAATAGGTCGTTCCGGTGGTCCCGCCATAGGATGTCGACCTGGGAGTAAATGTGCTTGATCGTCCAGCACATGAAGAAGAGAGTGAGCTTCGTCGCAAACGCCACGGCAACCGCGATGACGGAGGGGAGCCAGAACTTGTTCGTCTCCTCCTCGGAGCCCGCGGCGAGGTCGCGAGCCGACATGACGATCAGCACGAGGGAGACGGAGAACATGATAAAGGAGAAGACAATGTTGCCCGCGGTAGAGATGCGTGCGCGGCCGGACGGGTAGCGGCGGGGGTCAACTTTGTCCACCGCACGGTGCGACATGAAGAGCATGAACCCGGATAGAGGATCGAAGATGGAGTCCGCCATAGTAACGAATAGGGAAAGGGAACCGGAGGACACGGCGCCATATAGCTGCAGGGCGGCGAGGAAGACGTTCGCGACGAGGGATCCCTTGACGCAGATGGCGTACATGAGGTTGTTCTTTCCGTGCTCATCCTTTACCTCCTGCTCGTGTTCGTCGACGGACTTGAGCATGGCACGGATGTTCTCGTTCTGGCCCAGGTAGAAGTCCTTTACGCCGTCGGTCTTGGCCCATGGTGCTTGCCGCCGCTTCCGGGAGCTGTTGGCTGTGATCTCCGCCTCGTCCTTGATATGGGCGGATAGACCGAGCGGGTCACGGACATCATGCTGGAACTCGACGTCCTTGCCCGAGGGAGGGGGAATGATGGCGCGCTGGTGGATCCCGCTAGCTCCAGCTCGGGCGATGGAGCTTAACGGGATCTCGTCGACGACATGTTCGGCACTTGGTGATTTCCCAGCCATGGTTTCTGATGGCCGGATAAGCGTCCGATGTGCAGCTCGTTGGATGGCCGAGGCAACTTAGCGGCGGGTGGGACGGAATGTGAGGAAGCTATGGAATACTAAACGAGGCGGGGAACTGAAGGAAGGCGTCTTTTTTTTTTCTTGGGTGGCGTTGAGCGCTATTAGGATGGGACGCGCAGCGGCGTGACTGGCCGGGGACATCAAAGTGGAGTCCAAATTGCTTCTTATCAATCAACTCGGTGACCTCCTCGCACTAGTGGCTGGGCAGTGTGACACACCTGCGAACTGGTGTGGATAGGTATGCTGAAATGAGAAGGACCGCCTTCTCTGTGTGTCATGTGGCTTTCTTTGCTCGTACAATTGCGTCATCAATTTCCGCCTCAATCTCCATGACCGTTGAAAATTCGTAACTACGGAGTCGTCGTACAACTAGTTATGCACGATGGCCTACTAAAGTAAACCATCAACAATTCTCAACCGCCGGTTAGGACTATGTATGACATTATAATACACCATGTACAAGTCTGGGGTATTATAGGCGAACCAAACAACCAGCTGCTATCAATTGAGCGGTCCGTTCGCAGACACACCTGGTTAATTGCTCCCAACAGTGTTGCATTAACTAGTGAAGATGGAATGTAGCTAAGTTCTGCACAGGGGTTGGTTGGGCTGACAAGTATGACCAGAGCTTGGGTTGCCCAAGTTCCAAATTATACGCGCAGGTTGTGCGGAAGTAACCGGAGCTTTTACCTTTCAACAAGAATGTTACTAGTGGATATCCCCGCAAAAGTCATACCTTTGGACGGGTGGCTAGTATGCATCTGAGTTCAAGCTAAACCAACCGATGAGGGGCGAGGCAGGTGGCGCAACTACGACTTTCTGTTCGACTGACTAGCTGAGAATATGCCACGTATAACACCCGGTATCTTGTTACAGTACCGTATGAGTATACTTGCATTGACGTCCCAGACACCTCTAGAAGCGTCTCTACCGCCGCTGCTCTGCCCTAGCAAGCCACTCCCGAATCGTGTACGCCGCGACGTGCGGTACCCCCTCATACCTCTCCCCTTCGTACGTCTCATCAATAGCCCGCGCAATACGTTGCGCCTTGGCAATCGTAAGCCTCTTCGCACGAGCCCAAGGCTCCTTCTCCACAAACGCATCCGCCTGACCCGCAAGCTCCATCCGCCTGGCCCTCAACCCGGCATCATCCCCTTTCTCTGCAGTACAGAGCGCACAGCCGCACTCGAAGCCCCAGGTCGTCATCAGCGCGGCCTGCCGAGCGTCGTACTCACCCAACACGGAGTAGCTGTGGAAGATCTCCTCGCCGGCGGCGATGGGTTCCACGGCGCGAACGATCATTAGGTCCCCGACGAAGGACTTTGTGGCGTTGGGGAGGCAGGAATGGTTTATGTAGGCGGCGCGGACCCAGAGGCCGGTACTCGTGCTGGCTGGCCCCGAGGCACCGTAGAGGGCGCCGAGGCCGAAGGCGTTGCGGGATACTATATCATGGGCCCGGAAGACATCCACAACGGGGCCATCTTCGGTTTGGGATACGCTTTGGCCGGAGCCGTCGTAGTCGCCGTATAGGTCCATGACGTGTTTGATCTGGGAGGGGTTGCAAAGGAGCTTTTGCACAAGGGCGCGAGTTAAGCCGGCCGGCGATACTCTGATTCTATCGTCGCGTACGTCATATGTCATGGCAGTCAGGGCCTCCTTCTCGTGACCCCAGGCCACGCAGAACGCTTTTTCGCAGAGAATGATGTCCCCTGCGGGGATATCGCGGGTCGCGAACAGGCCGCGACCTCGACCCGGGCTGTCCTTGATCTCAGTGTAGCCCGGGAAAGTCGCAGCTTCTGCTAACGGACGACTTTGGGATAGGCCGGCCTGGAGTTTATTCAAGTTATAGGCCCCCGTCCCCTGTTCGCGGAGACGGAGGGCAATCCGTCGCAGATGTATCGGCGCGGCTTTATCGTCGGGTACGAGCTTCAGCTGGTTCTCGAAGAACCCCTTGGCCTCTTCGTATTCTCCATTGTTATACGCCGCGGAACCGGCGCGGGAGTACGCCTTTCCGTCGAGGTCATCGGAAGCTGGGTCGCCTCGACCTAGGAGAGAGGCCGTCGCATCGGCCTTTGCTTCGTCTAGCCGGCCCAGGAGGAGGTTCGCGAGGGCGCGGTTGCGGTGGATGTCACGGGCTAGATCTGGAGCTGTGCTCGACACGGAGGGCAGCCGGGCGATTTTGAGGCCCGCGGTGTAGTTTGCGTGGGCTGACGCCAGATTCTGCTTCTTAAGCGCCGCGTTGCCGTCGTCTTTGTGCGTTCGTGCCGACTTCTCCGCTTCCGCTGGGTCTAGACCTGAGGCCTCGCTACCATCCGCTACTTCCGACGGAACGATATCATCCCAGCAGATGATGAGGTCAGATGGGTGGTCAATGCGGAGAGTAGGCTCCCCCTGGTCGCTGAGTGTGAAGTACGGCTCCTTGATGACGAAAAGAGAGGCCGATTCCAGGATCTCCTTGCCGTGGTTTAACTTGTGGAGATATATCTCTAGCCGTTCCATCTCATCCCCCGCTTCGTCCTGTACAACGGTCCATGATCGGGCCGCATGAGTGACTACCAGGCTTACACGTTTGACCGTGAGCCGACGGCCGCGGTGGTGTGTCTCAATACGGAGATCAGAGAGAGTCATGGGCTGAAGGTCCCGCAGAGCGGCGACGCTGGGCGGATAGGCATCTCCCACGGCGAGAGCCGGTAGTTTATCGTTTTTCGTTTCTCCAAAGGCCATACTACCCATCTCCGCCATGAGGGCGGTGTTGTTCGCCTCGCCGATGGCGGACTGCCCGTCCTCCGTCGGCTTCCGATCCTGGCCAGCGAGGGAGGAACATTTTTCTATTCTGTCCTTGACAGTAGTTTTGATTCGAGCTGCCTCCTGCTCGGTCAGATGGACAGTGTTTCCATCCATATTAGAGGCCATTGTTGTAGTTCTTGCTGCAGGGGGGCAGAGGCTATGGCATGAGGGTGCTTGGTCTGTCTCCGGCAGATATGAGTATACAGCTTTCGTACAAGTGGGGTGGGCAGGATTTGTTAGCCCCTCCATCCGCCTTAATTCTTACACGTGACAATGCAAGTAATCCTTTGTACTTCTGAGGGGTTGATTACCACCTTATGTCAGTAAAATCGCGAAATTCCTAGTATTTTTCACCTTAATATTGGCTAACAGACTCGGCCAGGACAGCCACTAGTTCGTTTCATCCGCTCTAGACTTTACCAGCCGAATGGAAAAGTATTATAGACCAGGTCTTCGTGGTGGAAGTGTGACCCTACCAAGTCGTCTTGTACGCGGTACTACAAGTGAATGTCCGCCGTATTAGGAGCTATTAGGGGAACTAAAAACTGGAGAAGACACCTGCGTCTTTCGATTTCCACGACTGGTCCCCACTAAAGTATCCACAGCTGAGTGATTTTGCCCTAAGCACTGTAGCCCTGAACCACGTACTTCTTTCTATATTAGGCTGCTGCGATCTGGGTGGCACTGTGACTATTGCTATGTTACTTAAGCATGCATTGCACCTAACAATACGGCTCTCAATACTTGATCTTTCCGTCTAGTGGCCAAATACAGGCGCACCCACCACATAGACCCTGCAATCACTCCCCTGAACCAGTTCAATCTAGGTACCACGGCCTGCCTCAGTGAAGACACCACTCAACGGTGCCCAGGGCCTCTCCCTGACGACCATGTCAGACTGCTCTTCAAAGTGCGGCCAAAGCTATTGAACGAATGCCCTAGTTTCCCAGTACACCCAGATGTATGAGGTTCTGCTCCGTCGAATAACTTCGCCTAATACATGCGAGTAACATATTCTACGGCGATTTCGAATAATCTCGACAGATGTTGCCAGCCTCAAAACGGCATTGTAAATATACTTGTACAAGAAGAATTTTTAGCTATTTCCCCGTCCTTAGCTCTATAGATCCTTCTCCGTGAAGTTGGAAACGAACGACCTTCACTTCCTTCACCCTCTTTCATATCTCAGGGGAACACGAAGAATTTGAAGAAAAAAAAAACTTGAACCCAAAGTGATTTGAACACTTAACCTTCAGGAACTTCCGGTTTCCCGTGGAGGATGTTACCCCAACTGCTACTGGAATCTGACGCGCTACCGTTGCGCCATGGGTCCTTGAAGTAACTATACCATCGACGGCATTATGTTGGTGAGCGATCCAACAGACGGTCTCGCGTCAGAATTTCGGGGCAGGCGAATCCTAGACCGGGCGCCCAGCGCTTCCATCACTTGGACCATTGCGAGCTGTCATCCCAGGAGGTGCTGCTAATCTGATGTATGTTCATGGCTGGGAGGGCATTGGCGGGGGTATTGACTTGTTTACATTAGGACTGCGAGTGTGGTTTTCAGTCCACTTGTACATATACTTCTGGGGTTTAGGGGGGGCGGTTTCCGCTACACCTATTAATGGATAAGACGTTCTTGTGCCATGAGATTGGTATTAGATCAGTGGATGTTATATTTGGAGTTTGACCCAACGACTCGTGTTCACCCTTTTTAGTGGACTTGGATTCAGATTTGATTCAGGTAGACGAAGGCTTTGTGACTTTTGAGGTTTACTCATATTCAACAATGCTGCCATTAACTCGGCCGGTCAACATAACAACAACAGAGGATAGCAAACAAGCCTTTGCTGCCGTCATCAGGGTCCTGGTGTCCACAACCCAAGTCCTGTTCGCATATAGTATCCCAAGGTGTGATAGGCTGTAAAATGCTAATAAGGGACCCTAATAAGCTCATATTGGACTTGGCTACGAGCAACATGGTAGCTTTACGACATAACTACGTTTCCAAAGCGGCCATAGGGCGATGAGAATGTTGCAAATTAGGACATGGCTTTACCACTCCACGAGATAGCCAGCACTGGCATCACATTGGTTAGCAAGCAAGTGAAAATACATGTTTCGTAGGTATGGTTCAGAGAGCATAAAAATAATCGCTGGGCACCAGTATTTACTGCACCGAAGCAGGCGGATCCCACCAAACCATATCCGCAAACGAAATATCCGCGTCTTCCATTCTAACCCCCAGCTGCCACCTCCCAAGACCGGGCCAAAAATTCTCCGGCACGCGGTCCCGCTCCCCTCCTTCTCCATATTGATACATGTCATACCATCCAAACCCAGTCGCCCTAGACGAAATCATCGGAGTGAAGCCACACCAGCGGCCGCGGTCGCTCCCAGCCAGCTCACCCTGACTGCCCCGGCCCTCAGGGACGGGCGGCTGAACAACGGCCATGTCGATGCCGACAAACTTCGCGATACTCGTCGTGAGAGGAAGATGAGGGACAAATCGGAGAGGTTTGTATACCGCACGGAAGAATGGGCTGTCACTCGGCGCAGATTCACTTGGGTCCCCCCCGATGTCGTGCGGGAAGACCTTGATCTCCGTCCCACCCTCGGCGAGGTCGTGGAATTCGAAACGGGCTAAGTGTTTAGGACAGTTCCAGTCTTGCCGCAGTTTGTATTAGTATATGAGGCCATGGGCCAAGGGGGTGATTTGGACACCATGCACACTTACCCCTCCTGCCATTCCAGCATGTCACCTTCTGAGACACGTATAAGCGCGTCATTCGCCGACTCTGCTTCTCGACACGCTTCCCGTCCCGCTCGACGACGTAGGAGTGCTTCCCCGTGGCAAATATGATTTCATCGTACGCCCCGACGGGAGATTCCCTATAGCGAAGAACCATGACGCTCGCCAATCCTCCCTTAGGCTTCCCACTGGCCGACCCCACTGCGAAGGATGAAGACCGCTCGAGCGGAGAGTAGGCGATATCTATTGGGAAGTCCTTCGCCTGTGACGCTGGAATCCAGTACATGAAGCAGTAAACCGTACCCTTGAGCTTCCACGGCGGAGGGACATGCTCAATTTCGTCTTGATCCGTCATTTTTGTTAATCCTACTTGGCGACAGTAGGAAAGCTGTATAAGTCGCGGTTGGTAGTCTAGCGGGATCCGGGCTATACAGACTCGCGAAGATGGCAATATAGAGGATGGAAAAGACACATAATCTGGATGGATGATGACTGCATGTTGGACATGGCTGTGTCCTTGTACCATGGTATCACGTGTAGTCGATACCGCCGCCAGTCAGTAATATTAGAGCCAAAGCTGACGCCAAACCAGGGAGGTTGCGACCGGCCGGATATAACGATCACGTGTGTTCCAAGTGCATCATGAGGGAAATGCATTTAACGAGGAGCTCAATCTGCGCCACGCAAGCAAAATATTATTATTAGGGAGTATGCTTACGAAATAGGCGTCTTCATGATCTCTGTGTTTCGTCTCGAGTTTAACTTTCCAGTGTACACCTTGGCAGGAAACTTGTCTCGGACTCGTGTAAAGCTGGCAAAAGCACGTGAGCCTTAGTTCGCATAGGATCTATAGCCGTCGCTCCTCGTCTTTCCTCCGTTCCACAGGCAATTGGTCCCCGAGCACCACGTATAGTGGTCGGCCTCTTGTCTCGTTGAGCATAGGCGTGGATAGGCGTGCATCTGCCAACCCGCCAGGCCACACGAATCCGCGGGTGAAACGGAGTTGGCAGGTTCCTTGCCCCTCGCCCCTTGCCTCATCCACCATGGCTATGCGGCGAACCCATAGGAAATCGCGCTATGGCTGCAGAGGGTGCAAACAGCGCCATATCAAATGCGATGAGTCGAAACCCTCATGCCTCAACTGCCTAGCCGTCGAGCGATACTGCAGCTACCTCGACAATGCATCCAATGTACACACACCGCCACCCTCAGGTTCCTCCGGCCAACTGCCCATGCCCTCCCCAGCAACCCGGCAAGCCTCAGCACCACCCGCCCACACCTCTAACGAATCAGCACCGCCACCCCCTGTAGCTCTAGGCGAAGACTACACCTTAACCCACATCGAACTCTTCCATCACTTCGAGCACGGCCTGTCCCAGGTCCTGAGCCCATCCGTGGAAGCCACCCCCCTCATCATGGAGTTGACCGTCCAGAAATCTCTGTCCTTTCCCTACCTCATGGACGAGGTACTTGCCTTCGCCGCCGCCCACAAAAGTACCCTTGACCCGGAGCGAAAACACCTCTATCTCGCCGAGGCAACTCGCCTCCAAACGCGCGGTCTGTCCCGGTTTAACACTGGGCAGACGGAGATCTCCAAAGATAACTGCGTCGCGGCGTTCCTATACTCCGCCATCCTGGGCCAGCACGTCCTCTTCGACACTTTCTCGCTGCAGAGCGATCTCGCGGCCGTCCTAACCAAATTCGTGCAGTGCCTCTCCCTGCAAGCCGGAATCCGCACCATCGCCTCCAATTCCTGGGAGACCATCCGCACGGCACTACTCTGGGACAGCGCCGCCCGCGTGGGCCCCCTGGACCCCGTCAAGCCTGATGACGAATGTGCTCGTCTCGTGGACTTACTCGACGAGAGTGAGCTAGCTGAGGAAGCAAAGGATGATTGCCGGCATGCGGTCAAGGCGCTACAGTTCATGTTTTCGCGCCATCGGCTGGGGACGTTCCGGGGTGGCCTATCTGTTCAGGAGTGGGCTGTGCGCGTGCCGAGGGGGTATGTGGCGCTGCTGAACCAGCGGCGGCCGGAGGCACTGGTGATCTTGGTATATTATGCAGTGCTACTGCATTATGACAGGGCGCACTGGGCTATTGGAAATACTGGAGCCTATCTTGTGCGGTCTATCACGCAGCATATGGGAGAGTATTGGGCGAAATGGCTGGAATGGCCCAATCAAGTCATTACCGAAACTTCAACTCCTGCCTCGACAACAGCAGCGGACCAGCAAAACATGTCACCTCATAGCTATCTTGATTCGAATTTACACGCATGAAATCATGTCACTGCTTCAAAGATTCATGTGTCGAGGCGGCGAAGGAGTTTGGAGTTTGTTTGATAGATATGTTCATGATGGGAGGACTCCCAAGTCTCTTATATATTTCAGGATAAGTCAGCATGCGGCCCTGTGTTTCACTCTGGGGACACCCGTTCCAGTAAGAGTACATGGGTCTTTTCGGTAAAAGCTTTTCATGAGCGCGCTGATGAAGAGTGCCCACGATTCTATTAGAGCGTCGTAATCATGAACGCACACGCACAACTTCCAGCATCACCTCCGCCGCGCCCTCTACGTACCTTGTGATTCTAATATACCAAAGCCAGATTGATCAAAATACACAAATTCACGCTTCCATGGCTTAGCAGGCCCAAGTTCATCCGCTGCTGCCCCGAATCCCGTATCCGTAGTTAGTGTGGCGATATACATTAGTAACATCTAACGCTTGCGCCAAACAGAAAGAGAGAAACTGGGAACAGAAAATGTTGTTACTAGTGTGGCCGTCCTCGCGAACTACCAGGTTCCCCGTATTCCCCACTCCTGACACCAAATCAATCTTGCCCACAAATACACCTTCGGCTAGGTGTCCCAAGCCTCCCCATCTCATCAAACGTAAATATAGCAGAAAGGCGCGCTGCCCATCATGTCATTGAGCTCTCCGAGCGTACGGGGCTCACCACTCCATTTTAGGTCGACCACCGTCTTCTGCGCATCCTCCATGGTCATCCTAGTTGTAGACACCATGGGAATGGCCTGCAGGCGGGTCTCCGGCTCCTGCATCTGCCATAGCCACCAGAGGCGGTCGAGGGACGCATGGTGCATCCAGAAGGTCGGGTCACCGGGAGAGGCGTAGAAATCCTGGAAGCAGCAGTGGGTCAGATCATGTCACACATAAAGTAAGGTGCCAGGAATACTTACCCCACCAGGATCGCCTCCAGTGATGTAGTGCCCAGCGGAGTGGAGGCCCCACGGATACTCGTCTCCTCTCAGGAAGGGTGAGCCAAGGTATCGGTTGTAGAATGCGTCCACATCGGGGTAGTCCATGACGAGAGAGTAGGAGTGGTTAGCTGAAGCACCGTAGGCCGAGTATTTATTCAGGTCTCGGCGGAGGCACCGGGGGTTCGAGCCGAGCCCGTTGGACTGGGGATTCCTAGGTAAGCCTTGGAGGACTGTGCCGAAAGGTCCGAGGCTGACCACCATGCTAAAGGAAACTTGTTAATACGGCTTCGAAGTGCTTCTGAGGTAGAACAATCAATTCAGAAAGGGCCTTACTCCTTGAAGGGTCCCTCTGTCACGCAGCCG